AGTTCAATGATGTTTTATGTACAGAAGAAAAATACTAAAAATACTTTCCTCTGAAACAGTTTGCATGTTGATGGGATGCCTAAGATAAGTAAATAAAAAATACTATGTATAAATGATTAATTTCTAGAAAAAATCCCATGGAATTTCACACGGTGCAAAGTTCAATGATGTTTTATGTACAGAAGAAAAATACTAAAAATACTTTCCTCTGAAAGAGTTTGCATGTTGATGGGATGCCTAAGATAAGTAAATAAAAAATACTATGTATAAATGATTAATTTCTAGAAAAAATCCCATGGAATTTCACACATAAAAGAGACTGATGATTATGAATGCCAAACAGTGGCTGATAGAATAATTAACGAGTATATGATAAATAAATGAATGATTAAAATAACGTATTAAATTCATTGTTTCGATTATGCTTCCCACATTTAGAAAACCTTCCTAGTATTGAGTCATTAATGGAACTCAGAGCATACTTGTCCCAAAATGTAATTGAGTTAAAAGTACTTTACAAATGATATTCCATATTCACACTAGCCCTATGAAGTGAGCATCACTAATCCTGCTTTACAGTCAAATAAACTGTAAAACTGTAAAAAAGGACATGTAAGAGTGTGATCATTCTGCCCAGTGCCAATAAATTTACACTCTCCTCTTACTGCTCATTAAGGATTTGCCTCAATGCGCTTCCAGTGAGCCATTTGCGATAAAGATCTTTAATGTGATTTTATTAAAACAAAGTGAACATCTATCATTCTGTCTTGATTACCTGTTAAGATGGGAGAAGGGGGTATCACGAAGAAAATTGGTCATTGGCCAAATTTTTACTTGTTTGAAAAACGAGTTGAGCATCAACTCTTTATCAGAGACTCCACTAAGGTGATAATGATAAAAAGATGAAAAGACTTGGTTCCTTTCTTTAAGAACTTCCTAGGATAACAGAAGAAACAGATGCATGTACATATAATTATACTACCATATTATAAATGCAGCAATAAAATTGTAAATCCTTGGGCGAGCCATAATGTGGTACATACACAGCCTGAATGTATTAGAGAAACTGGCTGGAGGAAGTGATGCTGAAGTTAAGTTATGCTCAGCTAATGACAAAGGCAAGTGTGGAAGGGAATCAAACTGGATAGCAGGAAAGTCCATTAATTGTTCCATATAATTATCTTTGCTACATAAAAAGAGTAACACTTAAAAAACAACTTATTTAATCAAATTACTAATTCTCTTATGCTGTCTAATCTGAGAGAATATTGGTTATATATATATCAAGCAACAGTAACTGAAACATGGATGTGTAAGCAAAGCACTGCAGTTTATTTGCCTTGTCATCTGTGGCAATCCGTAGCACCATCCAATAAGCAAAGAAGCCACCTTTCTGGCCTCAACTCTGCCTATTTTGTTCCTGTTTGTAAAAGTCCAGATATGCAGCCTTCCTTCCTGCTATTCCAACATGCCACGCTTCATCCCCGAAACTTTGTGGTTGCTATTGATTCTCCGCATTACAGGTCCCAAAGATCTGCTTTTTTGCCTTCTCATTATTTATGCTTTCACTAAAATATTATCTCCTCCAAGAGTCCTTTGCCAACTGTTGAAATTAACACATCAGCAGGGCCCTCACTTTGAAGCTGCCAAGTCAAACTCGATCATGACATCCTGCTTTACTTTCTCCATCTCACCAGTTTCCGAACTGTTTTATTATCTTTTTATCTAGGTGTCTGGCTAACTGCCTCCCCACTCTAAATATAATAAATGAGTTTTTCTGTTCTGTTTATTGCTGATCCTTTAGTTTTAACATATTTTCCTATAATCGACATAGGTTGAATAAATAAAATGCTTTAAGCCAATGATAAAAATAATAATCTCCAAGTGACAGCACGGCAACATGTGCAGAATCCAAAGAGTGAACCAAGGAATGCCAGGGGGAAATGTGGAAATTATAGACCATCTGCTATGTTTGTATCTGTATGAGGTGCTTTATAGTTCAGTGGAAGTTTGGGGAAAGCAGATGGAAAAAGAAAACCAAAACTAGAGACAATTATTTACTCTATGAAAATGAAACAATTGTGCATGAAGAGAATTGCAAGCACATTGGTACTTATGGTATTTCAGGCTGAACACCCCTAATCTGAAAATCTGAAACACAGAATGACCAAAATTTGAGACTTTTTGAGCACCAATGTGATGCCATGAGAGGAAATTTCAAACTCGGCGCCACATGACTGGTTCCATTCAAAACGTGCATGATGGGTTTATTGAAGGACTACATCATTCATAACATAAAAAACATCACGTCCATTTATAAAAAAAAAGGAGACTTATAAGACAAAAATCATTGTTAATGAGACAGATGACTGTGGAGGAAACATTTTCAAGAGCCGTCTAGCAGAGTGCCTCCTCATCCCTAGAAGACCCACTTACTGGTCCCTCAAAACTTTTTGATGTTTTTCCTCATCTAAAAAAAGTAAAATGTACAGTAAACTTTTAATCAAAACACAGTATCAGAGGCAGAGACTGAAGCCTGCTGTGTGTGTTGCTGCTCTAGTTTAACAGCTGATATATGCATTCTGGTGATGCTACTGTGCTGCTTCATTACCCTGAATGCAATATTTTTTCACCATGTTCATGGATGTCGTATTTTTTTATTGTTAAGTACTTATGTGTGAATAAGTATAAGAAAATTATTGCTTATCAGTAGCATGTGAATTCAGAGTCAGGAATGATGGTGATAATAAACAAGCACGGATTGTCCTGAGATACTGGGTGGCTGAGATAGTAACACCTTTACTTTCTGATGGTTCAATGTACACTTGCTTTGTTTCATGTACTAAATCATTAAAAATATTGTATAAATTTCCTATAGGCTATGTGTATAAGGCACATATGAAACATAAACAAATTTTGTGTTTAGGCCTCTGTCACATCCCCAAATATCTCATTATGAGTATGCAAATATTCTAAAATCTGAACAAACTTGAAATCCAAAATACATATGGTCCTGAGAATTTCCAATAAGGAATATTAAACCTCTAGTAATTTGTTTTAGTATTAGTGATGCTATTGTTATTACTCATCATATTATTCAAGTATTGCCAATAATATATTGATAGTAATTTTAAAAATAAGTATTGATTTAATCAACAGTCCAAATGTGAATCTATTGTGAAGACGAAGAGAAAGAATAGTTCATTATAGGGTAGGGATAAAAAGATTGGTGGAGAAATGCTAACACCTCATATTTAATAAAAAGATTCCAAAAACTCATTTGCATATTTGAAAAATCCATTCATAGAAATATAAGCATATAATTTAAAATGGGATAATTCACAAAGGAAATCACAACACAGTGATTGCTAACTCTCTATGGGGAGAGTAGCAGTGAAACAGTTTAGATAAACCTTGGAATGTTTTTTGACATTTAAAACAATATACATGTTTTCTATTAATAATTTTAAAAAATAATTACAATATGTAACTTTAACTAAACACATACATTTATGTAAAAACTTAGGAAAAAGACTAGGAGAACCCAAGACAGAATCTCAAATGTTGAGTTTCTTGAGGGTATGTTGCTCACTTTCAATGTTATTATCTACTTCAGCATGTTGAAATTCTGTGTAATTAATTTCATGGTAATCAGAAGAGCTATTTTGTGCTGTGAAAACAAGCAAACTCCACATATATTAGACACTTTTTTTAAAAAAAGGCTATTTATCAGCCATTCTGTATTTCCACTGTGAGTTGGCTGAGGACTCTGTTCCGTGTCCCCTAACTGAGCAACCACCATCTGAATTCTTGCTGTTCAACATGGAAAATAAAAAGGCCCACTTAAGAAAGCCCTCACAACAAACAAATACTCAACAAACAAGTGACATGCATGAATTCTTACCCAACTAATTCATACGAAATACTCACAAGCTCCTGGTTAAACCCAAAGGAGTAGCAGTGTGAAGCTATTTTGTGAACCAAAGGCAAAGAAAATAAAATAACTGGTGAACAAGATGAATGAGAACTTCTTTAATCAATTTTTATGTCTTTGGTTTCAGAAAGAATTAAAGCTTCAAAAACTGCAGTGTTCCCTATCAGTGTACCAAATTTCTTATTTCTACATCACTTCGATTTTGAGCTTAAGAAAAATGTCTTCAAAAAGCTTTTGAACAAAAGAATACTGAATTAGTGTTTTATTTTATTTTTAGAAAAATGCTTTTTTCCTTGACAGCTCTTTGATTAATGCTTCCTTCACATCTTTATTTCTAAGGCTATAAATCATGGGGTTTAACATGGGGATTACCGTGGTGTAAAAGACAGCAAACATTTTTTCCCTGCTCCACAGATTCCTTGGTGGGGGGTCTGAGATACATAAAGAAAAGAGTTGCATAGAATATAGTGACAGCTGTCACATGGGAGCCGCAGGTGGACAAAGCTTTGTGCCTGCCTTCTGTAGAGCGGATCCTGAGGATAGCAGAAAAGTTACAAACGTAGGAACAAAGAATGATGAACAGAGAAAAGGAAAGATTGCATCCAGCTACGACAAACATTGACAGCTCTTTGTTGTAGGTGTC